GATGGAAAGTGATCGTACAATAAATATCCAAGAAGTACCCCAATATATTATATCTAATGCCTGTGTGGGATTTAGCCAAGCTGCAGTAGGACATATTGCGAAAACCGACAGTATGGAAAGAATGATCCGAAATATCAGAATAAGGAAACAAGCAGCAACAGCTTTGTCTAACCTGAGAGGAAATTCTATTTCCCGAGGAGTAAAAGATATTTAAAGAAAGTGAACCCTTCTTGTTGCTTGATTCAGGACCGATGGAAGATAGAATTGCTAAATTTTCCAACGCAAGAAATCTCCAGTTACTGCCCTCATCTGAATATTGGTTTGATGAATTTGAACATTCATTCAACTTTTAAAATAGTGCATCGTTTGCTTTACTAACTATACAGATTCCATGGTATTTAGGTGAGCAGTTCAATTCTGCTTTTGGATGCTCTACGACCAGACAAGACATAGACCACATATTTTGGTTCATTACAACAGGTAAAATCGCATCAATCTGATGCCTCTCGAGAAACAGTTATGACCGATTTCGAACCGCCATAAGCAGTGCTATTTGTCTAGAATCTCCTAGAACTAGACATCGAGGATGCTTCTTCCATTTCTCGCAGCGTATATTCCAAAAGATTTAGGAAGAGGATCTTCAAAGAAGGTAAGAAATTGACGTCGAATTTGCATTAAAAATGCGATTGTTGTCTGCTTTGGCCTTTGTCCTAACAGAAGATGTGATTAAAGCAGTTGAGGTTCCTAGCGGTAGCTGTGATAACATGCCTGAAGAAGCACAAGGCGCGATTGATTACTTTGAGGACTGTTGCATTGAACGTCCTCAACGACGCAAGGGACGCCGAGTGCCCCGCTTCTCCCAAAAAATGTGGAACTGTCACGAAGGAGTATGACACCGTCTTCCGAAGACAGATAATTCAATTGAAGGGTGGCATGGTGGATTCGAAATGCAAATCTCTACACAACACCCTAATATCTGGAAGTTTGTTGAAGCGATTCAGCGTGAGCACAGCATCAGAACATTGCAAATAGAATTAGAGGTGAATGGCCAACAAGGTAGACCTGCGCGTAAGAAATATAGTGATTGCGCTGAAAGACTTTTCAGAGTTGCTTATGAGTTTTTGAGAGGTGTGACACATGATGTAAATTACTAATTAGATATTGCCGAAATAACATATTCGTATGCATGTAAATAACGTTGCAGAAGTTTTTTTTCAATTAAATGACTTAAATGAAATCTGTGTTTTATTCGAAATTTATAAGTACCGGCATCACTTTCATTTTCAGGCCAGTTATTTCAAAATTAGCACATTTCAATTTTACTTTATGATATGAAATAAATTAAGTTTTTTACGTTTCATAAATAAATCTTCGGCGATCAACTGTCGAATCCGTGAATTTTCCTTTCGACGAATTGCA